CCACTGACAAAGAACAAATTAAAATATACCAAGAAAAAAGCTTGTGTTTTCCAGTCTGGCCTGTTGTGGCACCATGCCCTGTCCCCAATGTCCACCCTCATCATTCCCTGGGGATCTTGCTGCTCCCCTCTGCTACGGGAAAAATCTTATTCGTCCAGGGAGACTCTGAACAAGGGAATAATCTTAAGTATGAGTGGTTGAATGGCTAGAAGAGCCTGGGGTGGGGGAGGGGAGACCTGAGTTATACTCAAAATGTGATGTGGTGTCTGTCTGGATTTCACAGATCTGTAGCCGTGGTCTCACTTTGGAGGGCATCACCAGCTAACAGGCATGGAACAAAACTGATCGTACCTTTAAGTAGACGAGGCTGGGAATCGGACCACTCTGTTGAATGGTTATCTTGGTTACCATTGGTTGTAATGCCTGTAAGGCATGATAGGCTATCGCTGAGAGGAGAAGTTAAACATTGGAGTGGCGTGGGGGAAAGCCTGGATCATGGAGATTAGCAGGAGGTCCATACCAGCTGGAACCCCCCTGCCAGAGGACCCAGGTCACAGGTGCGTAACTAAGATGCAGCTGAGGAGCGGAGACGAGATAATTGGGGTGAAACTTGATTGCACCATGTAACTCACCAAACAACCTCTCCCTGGGTGGGTCTGGTCAGAAGGTAGGGGGAGATAGTGATAGGATTCACCTGCAACTGTGAACAGGATTCCCAGCAATGCCATCCTGCTGGGTAGGAAAGGAGTCTGCTAAGGAGCAGGGAGTGTGAGCTCCTCACCAGGAATACAGTGCATGCCACCCCCCACCCCCCCACACACACACACCTGTACCTGGCTTCCCCTGCCCAACCTTCGACCTTTGGACTGAACAGCACCCACCATCATATTAGACATGTCCTCAAATTTTTGTGAGTTCTGTGGGGCACTGCAACGCATCACAGAGCCCAGAAATGGGAGGGACTATACTTAAGGAAGGGGGCGGGGTGGGGGTGGGGTATAGAGCTGCCTAGCTACTCAGAAGTGTTGGACGTTTGGGACGTTTTCATTCTCCAGCTCTTGGGACTAGTGTGGTGTTCATGCTTACAAAAGAAATGATCACCACAGTTTTCTCGTGCAAAATAGAGATGATGTTACTTCACAGGATCATTGCAAGATTAAATAAGATGTTTAAAGTACCTAGAGTAATTAAGATGTTTGTTCCCTTCTCTCGGGAAAGGGAACGCATCACTTCAGATAGCGTAGCCTTAGCAGTTTTGATTTAAGCAACGGTCCTGTAACTAATGACGGGGTCTATATTGGAGTGGCTGTTGGAACAAAGATGAAGATTCACAGGCTGTTAGGGACCAGCAAGCCTGTGAACAACAAACACTGCCTGCTCCGGTGCAACTCTCCTAACTGTTGTGTGAGTCCATTGTTACAGCCACTGTGTCAGGCCGTCTGTGTTGCTGCCCCTCCACTAGGCCAAGCATGATTTCCTTCTCCAGGGACCGGTTTCTCCTGACAGAACCTCCAAAGTACCTGGGGCAACGTCTCGCCATCTTGCCTCTCAGTAGCATTCTGGCTGGACTACCACGGAGACAGATTGGTTTGTTCTGGCAGTCTGTAGGACGTTCAGTGTTTCTGGCAACATCATAGTTCAACTATATCGGTTCTTCTTCAGTCTTCCATATTCAGTGTCCAGCATATGAGGCATCAATGGCTTGGGTCAGGCACACTTTAGTCCCCACAGTAACATCTTTGCTTTCACCACTTTAAGAAGTGCAGCAGGTTTACCTAATGCAACCCATCTTTTGATTTCTTGGCCACAGCTCTCATCACTGATTTGGGATCCAAGTAAGCCCAAATCCTTGACAACTTCAACCTTTTTTCTATTTATCATGATGTTACCTATTGGTCCAGTTGTGAGGATTTTTGAGCTATAATCCACACTGAAGGCTGCAATCCTGGGTCTGCATCAGCAAGTGCTTTAAGTCCTCACTTTCAGCAAACAAGACTGTGTCATCTGCATACGGCAGGTGGCTAATAAACTTTCCTCCAATCCTGATGCCACGCCCTTCATGAAATCCGGTCTGATTGGTCAGCATACAGACTGAATAAGGTGGGTGAGAGGATGCAACCCTGATGCACATCTTCCCAGATCTTAAGCCACGCAGTCTTCTCCCCTCCTCACAGTGACCCATGTACAAGTTCTGGACGAGCACAGTCAAGTGTTCTGGAATCCCCATTCGTCTCAAGGTTGTGCATAGTTTATTACGGTCCACACAGTCAGATGCCTTGGTATAATCAATAAAACACAAACCTTTCTGGTGTTCTCTGCTGTCAGCCATGATCCATCTGACGTCAGCAATGATATATTTCCCTGTTGCACGTCCTTTGAATCCTGCCTGCATTTCTGGAAGCTCCTTGTCAATGGACTGCTGCAACCATTGTTGGATGATCGTCAGCAAAATAATACTTGCATGTGATATCAATAATGCTGTTCTATAATTTGAGTATTGTTAGTCACCCTTCTTTGTAATGGGAACAAATATGGATGTCTTCCAGTCAGTCGAGTAGCTGCTTTCCAAATTTCCTCGCATAGACGAGTGCTTCTAGTACTCCATCCGCTTGTTGAAACCTTTCAACAATGTCTGGAGCCTTGTTCTTGGCTAATGTTTTCAGGGCAGCTTGGACTTCCTCCTTCAGCATCATTGGTTCTTGTTCATTTGCTTCCCCCTGAAATGGTAGAATGCTGACTGGTTCTTTTGGGTACGGTGACTGTGTATCCTATCCACCTTCTTTTGATGCTTCCTGCATCATTCAATATGTTGCCCGTAGACTCCTTCAGTATTGCAACTTGAGACCTGCACGTTTTCCCCTTGAGTTCTTTCAATTTAAGATATGCTGAGCGTGTTCTTCCCATTTGGTGTTCTAATTCTAGGTCTTTGCACATTACATTGCAATATTTGGCTTTGTCTTCTCAAGCTGCCCCTTGAAGTGTTCTGTGTTCAGATCTTTGACTTCATGTCTTCCATTTGCTTTCACTACTCTGTGATGACGAGCAAGTCTCTTCTGACATCCACGGTGATCTTTCATTCCCTGTCTTCGTAATGTCCTTTGGCTTTTCATGAATGATGCTCTTGATGATGACCTTCCGCAGCTCATCAGGTCTTCTGCCATTAGTGGTCAATGCAGCAAATCTGTTCTCAAAATTCACATGGGATAGACTCAAGGTCATCTGATTTGTGGGCTCATTTTCGTTTTTCTCCAGCTTCATCCTGAACTTCCAGAGCATTTATAGTTGCTGGTCCGTTCCACAGGAAGCCAGTGGCCTTTTAGCTGCTGACACTGAGGCTTCTCCGTCGCCGCTTCCCACAGATGTCGTCCATTTGACGTCTGTGTATTCCAGCTGGAGAACTATACACGTGTGGAAAGTTGCTGCTCATGTTGTTGAAAAGAGGTACGTTCTGTGAACAAGTCCTGGGTCTTGCAATCTCCAGCTTTGTTTCTATCACCAAGACTATATTTAACAACTACTGTACGTTCCTGTTTCCAACGTTTGCCCTCCAATGGCCAGTAATTATCAGTGCCTTTATACATCCAATTTCACTTTGGCTTCTGGTTTTCCTTAGATTCATACTTTGTACACTCCAGGTTTTGATCATTCGACTTCTGCAGCAGTTTATTCTCATTTTGAGGCTTGCCCCATCAGCACAGGAGAGTTCGGAAGGGCTTATTCTCATGAACTTCGCTTCATTTGTGTCATTATGGTCCACTTGATCTTGAGAAGGCAGCCCTTCCTCAGTCAGATGACAAATGCCTTCTGACCCGACGGGCTTCTTTCTCCAGCACTGTGTCTGAGAAGAGTTTGGCCTCTATTCAGTAGGCCTTGTTAGTGTGATGCATACGATTTTGAGCAGCTAATTCCTCCAAAGAGGACAGCCAGTTCCTTCTTCGTAGATTGTTCTGGAAACTCCGTTAAAGCCTGTTCACTTTGGGTGACCCTGCTGGCGTTTGAAATACCAGTGACATCGCTTCCAGCGTCACAGCAGCACACAAGCCACCACAGCACGGCGCACTGACAGGCGAATGGTGGAAAATGGCACATAAATTATACTCTGGACAGACTGTAACTTCATGAAGAAAGGTAAATTACTTGGCTTTGTTTCCCCAAACCGATTTCGTTGTCAACTACAGAAACAATTGTTTATTTTAATTTAATTTTTAAAATACTGTATTTCTCTTCCCGTTGGTCCCAAATCATTCTAAAAGGTTTAACTACAGTTTACCTTAAAAAACTGTTTACCTTAAAAAACTGTATACCTTCTACAACTTAAATCACTTAAAAATGATGGACAGATTCAAAAGAGTTCAAGATGTGAACATTTATTTTACCCAGGACACTAACCATTATTGATTGTCTATACAGAATCGTGACAGGTACAAGGAGAAAATACATGTTGAAATGTTAGGATTATTGAGCTTTAGAGGAAAATGAGGAGTACAAAAAGCTTAACCTGAATTAATATTTAGAATTTGATAGGACAACGATCCTAGAATACGTAAGAATTCAGCAGGACCTAGCAATACCTTTTACTGTATGTATTTTCAAAGAGAACAGCTAATAGAGGTTGGTGGTATTTTGTACCAGATCCCAATAATGATTGTCATGTATGTGTGACCCTTGACAATGACTGCACTCAGCTTGAAGCAGCATGTTTGCTGGGCTGCTGCTTAAGTATGCAGTACCGTGGACAGTAGCTTCTTCAGGCAATTACACACAGGCAAAGTGTGAAGTGAGAGACGGTGCAGATACAAACTCAAGGCAATTGCATTTATGCTCGCTTTGATACCCTGGCGATAAGCTTGGGATGTGGCAGAAGCCCTGCCAGAAAGCATTGCACCCGAAGCACGGAAAACTTCCACTGCATAGAAACCCCTAATGCGATGCTGTTGCTGCTCCACATGCCCTCCACCTGGGTGTGTGCAAGATCGAAAGGTGTGTTCCCGTCTCCACACACTTTTCCAAAGCGGGAAGTTAACAGTCTGCTCCCCGACAGCTGCAAAGTCTCAGAAAGCCCCAGGGGCCGTTCTTCCCTGTCCTCTGGGGCCACTGGGAACGGGCTCTGATGTGAAGGCAGCGAATGGGCCTTTCTCCAAAGAAACAGGCACCCCCACAGCCTGTGCCAAGCCGCAGCATGGGCATCTTGCCCCTTTACAGGGTTCTTTGCGTTTTGGAGAAAAAGCCGCCTCGAGGGGCCAGGTCGGCTCTAGGGAGAACGGTTCAGGTTCCCAGTGATGTTTTCTGAGGACGGGCACTCTGACCCTTGAGGGGAGGGGTGGGTGTACTGTCATGTGAAAAAGGGGTCCTTCGTGCCATGCTCTGGGCTTTTTTTTTTGCATGTCTGTGTGTGCCAACAATGCAATTTTCCATTTTCCTAAAACTTACTAAGTGTTCATGATTGTCCTGTGTCCCTTGAGGGAGGCTATCAAGACGGCTCCTTTACAATCTCAAGAAACTGCTCCAACGGCCTTCAGAGCTGGCCTCTCGGCCCGGCAATGAAGTGGCCAGCGGATGCCCTGGGAAGCTGCGGGTTGGTTTGCACCTTTGTTCTTCTCTGGAGGCATCCAAACGAGACTGAGACACCGTATCGCCGAGAGCATCTTTCTGCAGCCACCCACGACAGCAGAGGCATGGCGGAACACGTCTGCTTTGGAACCGACCTGAGCGTGTCTGACCTGGAAGCCCAGGAGCAAGACTTTCTGACTCACCTTCCGACTCTGTATTCCGACACAGGATCAACCCATCCCGCGGCGTCTACAGCGGGGAGACTTCAGTACCAGACATGCCATGTACAGTAATGTACAGGTCTCCGTCTGAACACAGCCCCTCTCCGGGTGTGCTCGAATGTGTTGTAGCGGGGAATTCTTTTTGGAGGGTCTAGAAACGCAGAAGTCCAAGGAGTGGTTCTTTTACAAAAAGCCAACTTGCTGCCCTCGCGTGGATGCTGACTCGCGGCGACCTTAGGGGACAGGGTAGCACTGCCCCTGTGGGTTTGCAGACTTGCCACTGGCCACCTAATGTGTACCCCCGCCCCCAGGCTCCTGGTGAGCAATCTAGAGGGAGCCAAAGCTGACTTCAGAAGGACGTCGTCTGTTACCATCCTTCTGAAACCCACAGGCTTGGGGCCCTCTTCCGAGTCCGCACCTGCTGCCTCAGTGCTCTCCTTCCAAACAAACAACAAACAAGCTGCAGGTTTCTGAGTCTAATGACTGGCGGGGGGCAGGGGGAGGGCAGTCAGGGAGAGGAAAGAGACGGGGAGCAGCTTCTACATTTCTCCGATTGACTGAATTCATTCAAGGCCTGGGCTCGGTGAGGAGCTGCTTTCCCTCTGGTCCAGCTGTTGGGAGCCCCTCGTGTGTGCAGCAGCAGCAGCAGCAGCAGGTCCCCATCACTCTGCCTTGACGGTGGACTTGCGGTAACGAAGCACTGTAGCTGTCACCCACACGTTGAAAGCCAGCATGACCGCAAACCGTACCAGGACTAAAGTCGCCGAGAGGAAGAACAAGCGTGTGTTTAACAAAGGCCGTCTCCACGTTTCAGAACCAAATCACCCTCCCGCTCTAGAACGAAGCCAGGGTGCTGCATTTCCCACCCCCACCCCCACCCGAGTACTGGACTCTGGAAACCGTTCAACTTTGGCTCCGAGTAGTTCTGGGACAGTTACCATGACAACTAGCGTTGGCCACCTGACCTGCCTAGGGCTGAGTTCTTAACTCCCCAAGCACACCAACAGGATTAATATTTTGGAAAATGATTAAAATAGATGGGGGTCTCCTCTTGTCCATACAGGTTAGAAATATGTCGCTGGCACAGAGGCACTTGAAATCAGCCAAGTTGCTTTCTCCATCGCAGCCAACAATGCCAAACCCACTGCTGTGGGGTCGATTCTGACTCAGCGGCCCTGAGGTGGGGTAGAGCTGCCTGTTTGAGTTTCTGGGACTGTGACTCTCTAGGGAAGTAGAGAGCCCCGTCTTTCTTCCATCTGTCACAGCACCCCTTTCCGAACAACAGAACAAGAGAATGAAATCCAATAGTTGGCAGCCCCCTCCTTTTAAAAAGCACCCTTCCCAGTTCAGGGGAGCTCCAGACGCTAGTTGGCTTGGTCACCTCCCACATCATCGGGCCAGCATTCCCTGGGTGCTGGGCGCTCATCTCCCAGCGCATGGCTCTCACACATGCTGCGGGGCCCTGGAAGGTGTCTGTTCGCCACCTTTCTGGGGAAATCCCCATGCATCCTTAAGACGATCTTCCAGTTGATCTTCCTAGCTCACGTAAGGTCCGTTTCCCCTTTCGGTGCTAATCCTGAAAGGCCAGGAGGTGAGCTAATAACTGCAAGGTCAGTGGTTCGAAACCACCGGCCACACCTCAGGAAAAAGGGCTTTTTACTCCCGTAAAGAATTAAGTGTTGCATACTCCCCGGAGCAGTCCTGCCCTGCCCCACAGGGTCGCCATCGATTCGACAGCAGAGTTTTGGGGTTTAGAGTTCATTCATTAACTGTGTGATGATTTCACAATCCGTTTCCACTGATGGAATGGGAGCTCCCTACAAGGTTGGCATCTGTTACCTTGTTCATGAGCCCTGGTGGTGCGGTGGAGGAAGCATTGGGCGCTAACCACAAGGTCAAAGGTTCTAAACCACCAGCAGCTCGGTGGGAGAAAGTTGAGAACGTTTTTGCTCCCAGACATATTGCCCGTCTCAGAAATGTACGCAGGGTCGCTACGCGTCAGAATCGACTTGCTGGCCGCGGGTTGGGTTATTCTTTAACATCCTGTTCAAATTCTCCAGCAAGAATTGCAGGAAGTGGTCTCGTGCCATCCAGTCGACTCCAACCCGTGGGCAGCGTTGCCCTTGCGCGTGTCCCAGGCCCGAAGGCAGACGCTTGATAACTGCGAATGTGGCCACGAAGACCAGAAATGCGATCCGCCATGCTCTCAACCGGACACCACGGCCCCAACCGCGGACCAGGACGGAACCACCATTAGGGGGAGGAGGACGGCGCAGGACGCAGGGTCGCTAGGAGTAGTCAGAACCAACTGGACTGCACCGGACATCGCATCCTGTGACCCTGCGGTGGTCCCGGAGAGCCACGCTGGGGTCTTCACCCGCACACAGCCTCGCTGACCCTCAGGAAGTGGTCCCAACCCGCGGGAGTCTCAAGGGCGCGGGGATGGAAATAAGGACTTACTTGTAAGGTCACCGGTGGTCATTAAAGTTGTTGCTATTCTCGCTGTAAAAGAAGAATGTTTTTCGGCAGTCAATATCAACGCGCTCAGACATCTTGGCGTCTACTTCATAAGGCCTTTCCCTACGAAAGACAGGAATGTGGCACCCGACGAGGGGGCTTCACGATGTCTGTGGGGGAGACGCCATTATTTTTAATGCCATTTCCCCGTGGACTTTTGAAAGCCCCTCCCGTGTCTGAACGCCTGGAGAGGCAATGGCGGTGCAGAGAACAATGTAGTGCTAGTGTTATAAAGCACCTACGGTCCAGCTATGTATCCTAGCCCAGGGGATGGGAGAGTGCTCCTACGGGCAAGGAGGGTCGGGATGCTGAACCAGAGAAGGAACAGGAGGCTGAACCTCCTTTTGCTACCTGTGCGGGCCAACCCGCGACGCCCCCTCACCCCCACTTGAAAGCAACCTTTTAAAAAACCTTATTTATGCATGAAGCTTCTAAGTAAGATTTCATTATTTCAAAGGCTGTGACTGACTGAAAAAGCCTTTTTAACACAGACATCTACTCTTTAATAGGCATATCCATCGATCTGCCTCGGAGTCTAATGCAAACCCGCCCTGCTCACTGCCCTGGCGTCCCTTCAGACTCAGAGCAGGCCACACGATGGCAGGACTGCCCCTGGGGGTCTGTCTGGAAGCGGAAAGCCTCATCTTTCTCCCACAGAGCAGATAGGGGGGTTCAACTGCTTAATTTCCTTCGTTCCCCTGGCCCCAGGACTTCACTGTGTAATCACTCTCTCACTACGTGGGAGAGAGCAGAATTGGGGACCAGCGGCCCCGGCTTCCTGCAGCTCACGGGAGGTGAGCTCCTAACCCGATCTTCACAGGTCTGCCGAGTGGGTTTTACATTCCACAGATACTGACGTCCTAGCTTTCCAGGGCTAATCTTCCAAGTCCACCGTACGCCCCCGAAGGGAAGGGCCGAGTCTCCTACAAATGGTAGTTGTTCATTTTGCTAACTAACTCTAGGGCCCACACACAGGTGTACTTGGCTGGTGTTGAAATGAACGGCTTAGATGGAAGATACGAATCTTGAGCCCTGCGGTGGAGACAGGAGCAATTCAGAGGGCTGTGTCCACCGTGAGGTTCTTATGCAAACTTGCGTAAAGACCGGTGGTCAACAGCCTGTGCAAAACTGCTACAGGGTGAAGTCGAACGTAATCATCAACTGAAGGAAATTAGGGAGGCGTGGCTAAACTGGCCCACGTCTTTCATTTCTGAACTGATGCTGAAGCTGTGAGCCTGCTGGGTCACAAAAGGAACCCTGGATTGAAAACCAGCTCTTATTTTCCCTCCCATAAAATCATAGTCTCCAGTTCCTTTCTAGTGGATTCACTACATAGGGAAGGACTTGTTAAGCACAGAGCACCGCACAGGACAGATGGCAGTGCCCTGGGCAGTCTGCGATCACAGGTCCCCAGACCTGTGCACTGCACAGCTTCCCAAACCAGTTGGCCTCCCATGCCCTTTTCCAGAAGCAAAGGATTCCCTGCCATCCTGGCTGGCACTTTTGTACGACAGTCCACGATCCAGGATCCAGAGTGTGGATCTTCTTTTGTGGCCCCTTCGGATCCTTCCAGCACCCCCACCCCACTTTGGGAAACAATGGCCCCCTCTACCTGAATAGCAATTCCAAGAGCCATATAGCGGTATCCAAGGGCTCTTCAATACCGCATAGCTAAAAGTGAAACTCAGGGATAAGATATTTGTGTACCTTTTAAATAACTTTTGAGACAAGATCTTTACCAGCAATCCTGATGGGGAAATAGGCCCTTTAAAGCCTGGAATAACAGTGGTGCAGGATCATGAAAAGGCCGGAAGCTAGTCTAGCTAATGCGGTCGCTGTGAATTTTTTAAGAAAGCAAGGCTTCTATCATACAGCGTATGTATCTCAGGCAGCTCTCAGAAGAACTCACATAGACGATGGAGGCTCTGACGTGGAGCCCAAGCAACAGAGCTCCAGGAAAACACCACTGAGGTCGGCAAGTGATGTCCGAGCCGAAAGCCAATGCGTGGTTTCCTAAAGCGCATCTTCCTAACCTGCTGCAGAGTCTGAGTTTTGAGGCAAGTGAGTGGGGTCCTTACACTCAGCCCAAGACCGGGCCAGCGCTGTCCCCCGTAAGGGCGGTTTCTGGCGAGAGGAGCACTTTCGGTTTTCTTTTTGGCAGCTGGAACACAGCTGGCACAGAAAACGGACACAGCTCGGCATGAAACCGGCCTTGTTTTCATTTAGGATGTCATGGCTCAAGAGTTATTACCAAAGCCCAAGGGATCAAGACACTTGGCTCGCAAGTGAACCCTCCCTTCCAGGTAGGCTGGTGGACGTGGTGGGATACATGCTGGGCTGCTAACTGCCAAGTCGGTAGTTCAAGCCCACCCGCCGCTCTGTGGGGAAAAGGTGAGGCTGTCTGCTCTCAAGCCTCAGGACATTCTACTCTGTCCTGCAGGGTAGCGAGGACTCGGACACCACTCGGTGGCCCTGAGTCTGGTGTCTGGAGCTGTCCAGGTGGGACAGCCGATGCTAACAGAGGGCACCGCAGCCCGCGTCTCTCTTACTCGCACAGGTGTAGGCAGAGAGGCTCCACGTCAGAGCGCTCACGGCTCCGGAGTCCTTGGTCTTCCACAGGTGCTGGAGCTGGGCAAACTTACTGGCCGCACTGATGAAGGTGCACAAATTCTGTGTGCGGAGAAGAAGCGAGAAAATCAGGAACCCATTGGTTCAAAAACAATAGAAGAACAGCCAGCGCACAGCCAAATCTTCACATCAGGTAACAGCCACGGCTGAACCCCAAGTTGAGTGAGAAAGGGCAACCGTGAGGTGTGTACTTACAACCCACAAATCCCAAAGTCGAGGTCGTTCGAATGAAGCGTTTGAATGAAATAAGGGAAGCTCCTCCAGGCTCCAGGCCCTGAGTTCCTGGCGCCGGGACACGCAGAGGCAAACTCGCTGGCCCTGCCTGCGAGCGACCGGTCTAGTGAAGCCGGGAGAGCGGCAGACACAGGGACATGGGGACAGATGCAGAGTGTGCCAAAGGGCAGCACGCCCAAGGCTCAGTGAAGACAGGTCTTCATTTAACACACATACTGTTCATTGCCCTTGAAGTCACCTCTGACCCCCTTTATGTGGAATCATAACATTGTTCTTGGAAGGCTTGGGCCGGTGCCTGAGCAGGCTGGTGCATGTGCCCATCGCGCCAAAGGCTTTCCTCAGTTTCTCGGACCCCCCCCCCTCCCACCACCACAACCACCCCACACCATGATGCCCCTTTCTAGTGGCTGGTCTTCCTGATGCCGCAACCCAAGTGAGCCCCATGTCTCACCAGCCCGGAGGGAGGCGGAGGCGCGCGTCCTCCAGGGCCTTTCTTCTAAGGTGGATTTGTTTGTTTGACACACCAGGGCATGTCAAGTATTCCTTACCAGCAGTTCAATTCACATGCATCAACTCTTCTGGTTTAATAGCCCCCACTTCCCCCAGAGTCCTTACGATTTCCCAGGAAAAGTCCTGACTTCTTTACAACTAGAATGCCATTCAATTCTCATGATGCCACTCAGACTCACTGTCACCGAGTCAAGTCTGCCTCCCTGTGACCCTAGAGGACCGAGGGCAATGCCCCTGGGGGTTCCCGAGAGTAGAAAGCCACGCCTTTCAGGCAGTCACTGTTATTCGCCTCAAGGAGCCTCAGGAGCACTGTTAAGTAAGTGTTGGACTGCTAGCTTCAAGGCCAGTGGTTCAAACCCATCAGTAGCTCAAAGGGCAGGAGATCAGGCTACCCTGTTCCCGCAAAGGCTGACAACCTTCTACAGTGTCACTAGGCGCCAGAATGGACGCGATGGCTCTGGGTATTGTATTGGGGGCAGGGGTATTTTACCCTCACGTATTTATTTTTCAAACCATTATGAGAATCGAATGGCTTTCTAGTTGTAATCCAGATGTGACAGTTTCATTGTGCCAAGTAGGCTAATAGGTACCTGGGTGTAGAATTTGATGAGGGCTCAGCTTGATTGGAGGGCTACTGAAATAAAGACTGCCGGCATCTCATCTCTCTCTTGCTTCCTGGTGATCCAACGAGCTGCTGCTTTAGCTAGTTCTCTGCCTCTACTTGTGTGCTACACTACCTGTAGGCCAAGCCAAGCTGTGGATTGTGTTGCTAGTACAGCTTGCGGCTCCTTAGAGACCTGCTTCACCACACTGCTGGTCTGGTGGATCCTGTCACTGTGCGTGAGTTTGAGATCCCATCAGGGCCTGCCTTGCTAAGCTCCTGAGCTACTGACTGTTGCTGACCCACCCTGCTTTCTGCTGCCTGCAGGGAAGACTCAGCTGTTTGCTTCCTTGACCTTGGACAAGGCAGCCCACGTAAGTTGAAGGACTTCCAGTATATTAACTGTTGCACGAAAGTGAGTTGAACTGAGTCCTCTGTACTGCTCTGTTGAGTAGTTAGCTGTTATATTCCTTCACGCTGTATAAACCTATCCTCTTATACATATATAATCATAAGTGTGTTGGTTTTGTTTCTATAGAGAACCCTGCAACACACCAGACATCATACCGTTCAATAGTTCAGTCTTATCAAGAAGTGTTGTACAATCGCCACCACAATCACTTTCAAAACATGTTCTTCCTTCCAGTCCTCCTTGATATTAGCTCCCCACTACCCACCTCCCCACTTCTCCTGCCATGCCCCCGGGAGCCCCAAATCTAATTATTGTTGCTGTAGCTTCACCCATCCTGGGTTTTGTATATTGAAAAACACACAACAGAGAGTCAAGGAGGCTAACAACAATAACAAAACACAACAGAGATAAACCCGTTTGGAAAAAAACAAACCCAGAAAATATTAAAAACCAGATGAAGCTCAAAGTGTGTCAGAAGGGCGATCACATGATAAGGTTCTAACTATTCAAGTCAGATTTTTCACTTTAATTAACTGTAATCATCTCTACAATACTGTCTGATAACCAGGCTGTTCCCATCCCTCAGTTATGGTCAGCGGGAAATCACCTGAAACTTACACCCTGTGTAGAACCTGCAAACCTATTTTGGGCTTCCACTGTCATCCATACCGTTCTGCAAATCAGAATTTCACAATTTAGGCCCCCGATACACTCCCTCCATTGGACTTGGATTATATTACTTAAAATCCTTGGATCACACATGTTGGTGTGCTTCTTCCATGTGGACTTAGTTGACGAATCTTTACGACCTCAGACCATCTAGTTTCTTCACCATACCTGGCGGTAGCACCTAGATCTTCCATGTTTCCTTCATGGCCCCTCATTTTACAGATGAAGAAACTAAGACACATAGAGCCTTTGTAATCTCGAGATCATGCAGCTAGTAAGGTTGGTCATAAGCTCTGCCAGTCCTTGATCACCACTCAATATATATATTGAGCAGGCACCGGAAGGAGAGCCCTGGGGTGGGGGTGGGGGGTCTTGACAAGAGCTCTTTTGTCATTCCAGCAGGCGGGACAGAGATTCAAACAGACAGGAAGGCAGATGCCACGGGAGGGTCGCCCAGGAAGGCATCTGCATGTCCTGACCCAGATTTAGAGCTTGGGACTCCAGAACTGTGGCATTAGGTCGTATGTAGGAATGATACCTGCCCCGGGGGGATGCTAACTACAAAGCTGGGGGAAAGACAGTCTGCTCCCGTAAAGACATGCAGCCACAGAAACCTGTCTGTGCTTCGAGTGGGAATAGAACCCAACGTGGCTTCGGTTTTCATTCATGCAAATGACACCGACCCCATAGGAATGTCGGCTTTTCGGAGCGAACTCTGACCCCCAGGTGCTTCCTCCTGCACCGTGGCTCTGGCTTGGGGCCAGGTAACCGGGCCTTGTCTCCCCGCCAGTCCCGGCGCCCGCCATGGAGCAAGCAGGCCGGGGTGAGAGCTCCCTGAGCGGGTGTGTGAGGAGCTTGGAAGCTGGGGTGGGGGCAGCACGGGGTCTGGCTGTCAGCGCCTGCTTGAAGCAATGCCTGCGTCTTCAAACACGTGCACTATTACAGAACCACTTATACATATCACAGAGCCAGGAGCCCTGGGGCGTGGGGGTTGCGCGCCGGGCCGCGAAAGCACACAGCCTCTGCGCTCCGCGGACGAGAGATGGGGTGTTCTGCTCCCCTAAAGAGTTACAGTGGAGGGGCCGTTCTCCGGTCCCGTCGGGTCGCTGTGAGTCGGCATCGACCGGAGCAGCGAGTTTGTTTTTTAAGTCATAGAATCCTTACACGGTTAGAGCCGCTGATGAAGGCATGGAAGAAACACAAGCAGGTGGAAACGTTGGACCCCCGCGCCCCAAGCCCGACAAACCTAGTCCGCAGTCAGTATTCACAGACCAGTTCCTGGGGCTGAGCGATCAATACACCTGATGCTGCCTGGCCCCGCCCACACTACCAGGGCACGCCCCCACGCCGCCGGGGCCACGCCTATGCCGCTCGGGCCCCGCCCCCATGCCACCAGGGCCACACCCCACACTCGGGGTTGGGGCAGGGGAGGGGGGCACAGCAGCTACAACCCCTTGAAGCGTGATAGGGAGAATCCAGTCCTTTCCAAGAAAGGGTGTGAGCCAAGATGCTCTGAGTTTGGGTGTGGCCGGTAGTGACTTGTCCCCCCCAGTCAATGTCCCTCCTCCCTCCCGTTGGGTGGAAGTGTCCACTCAGGGACCTTGGAGAGAGAGGCGTGCGTTCTGAGCTGCTATCAGTCCCATTCCTACAGCATGGGAACTGTTGGCTCTCAGCGGAGTCATCCCAAGGAGATAAAAGAAAATAAACAAATCCTAAGCATGACACAGGGGAAAAAAAGCGTTTGGGGGGCAAAGTCCAAAAGGCACGTGTTGGTGGACTTCAGGTACCTCGCCTCTACTTAGCCTTATTAGCTTTTTAACGTAAGCTCCACAGCGGTGAGCCACCTCGCCGATCCAGAGCTCTTTGGCTCCAAGGGAAAAGTGAAAGCCCATTGGGCCGCAGGTGTGAGTGAGTGAGTACGTACCTTCTAGTCGGGCACTGACTAAGGAAGACCAAGCACAGACGCATCTACACTGTGGCCAAGAGCACAGGAAGTACCACGGACTACCCAAAGAACAAACAGCTGTTCTGGAAGAACTCTAGCCAGATGTTCCTTAAAGGCCAGGAGGGTGAGACTTTGTCTGGAGCACTTGGGCCTTGTTTGTTGTTGGGGAAGTCCGGTCCCTGGAGGGCATCAGCCTTGTCCAATGAAGGGTGGGTGAAAAGCAGGAAGCCCCTGGACAGGATGGACTGACACAGTGACTGCACTGAAGGGCTCAAGGAACAATTGTGAGGAAGGCGCAGGACCCCTTGGTGTTCCGTTCGGTTGTACATTACAGTTGCTACGAGGAGGAACCACCTGACAACAACAGTAACAACAGTACTCGGGCAACACCGAGTGTTCATCCCATTTAATACGCCTGCCTCAGGACCTCTAAGAACGTGCGCTGCCACATCTGACCTGCAAAGCCCTTTCCAGGGCACAGGGCATGGAGAGACGCGGGAAGACCAGCTACTATTTCATATGCTTTCTTTCCAAGGGCAACACTTACCATGGCCAGATCTATGATCCACTTCTGCAGTGTGAGGACGAACCAGGAGGCCGAAAATCTTACTGAGCGTTAAGGGAGAAAACTGTGTGGCCACCGCCCAGCCCACCTCCTCCCATCCCCAGGCCCACCGTCTTCCCATCATCCATGAGACTGGCCATGGCGGCCAAGACACAAAGCAGGCGTCTCAGTGGGGAAGTCTTTGCTAGAACCTGCCTTATTGGGGAAAGAGAAAAATGGTCTCAAGTAAACACTTGTGTAGCGTTCAAAGGGACAGAAGTAGATGATGGGTGGAAGACACAAATGAACCTGTGCCCGTGGATTGGTCACCAGGGTTGGGACCCTTCCAAACAGCTTTAACCGCCCCTTGATTCCTGCCCATGCAGACATTTCCAATGTCATGTCCAGAGAGGGCTCACATGATGGAAAAGAGGGTTAGACGGAAGTCCTGCTCATTGACTTCCTCCCTCCAGAACACTTCACTGTGCTCGTGCAAAACTTGGACGTGGATCAGGAGGCAACTGTGTGGACAGAACAGGGGACTACTGCGTGGTTTACAATCGGGAAAGGTGTGCATCAGGGTTGTATCCTCTCACGCTTACTCAGCCCTTCTCCACAAAGGCCAGGTGGAAGTGGGCGGGGCTGGGAGATGGGAGGAGCCACCTTTGAATTCCAACCTGGGGACAGAAGGCTTGACCCGAAGTATGACTCACTTTTGACCAAGCCACCAGGCTAGCTCACCTGCATGGTGCTGCACTGCCAGCTGCCAGAGAGGGCCCGGTGTAATTACTTCACGTGTTTGGGGATCTTTGGGGAGGGAAAGGATGTCACAAATGACAGTTGGACACTGCTGCCCTCAGTAGCGGTACATCGTTAGCAGAGCCAGTGGTTAGGGACGACAGCTACATCCTTGAGGACGCTTTGAGTTTAACCCAAAATATGCTTCCCAAAGGCCAGGCTCAGGAAGCCACCGCTAGGAAGCAGCCCACCTGAATCGTACTGCTGCTGCTTGGATTCCGAAAGGATACACAGCCAGGTAGGGGGCCGCCTGCTTCACGTCCCCATTGTAGTGAAAGACACAGAGCAGGAGGAGAATGTCTGCAGGGGAAAGGCTCCATGGGAGAGGGGGTTAAGGGGGAGGGGGGGCCAGGTGGGGTTGGGGGGGCAGGTGGGGTGGGTGGGTGTGCTGGTTGGAGAGGAGGAGGGAGGGCAAGGGTGGGGCAGGGGTGCTTGCTGGAAGCAGGGAGGGAGGGCAGGGAGGGTGGCAGGGGTGCTGGCTGAAAGGCTGTTACCTTGTGCGATGAGAATAGGGTACTCTAGGTATGTCAGCAGCGGGTAACCATAGTAATGCTGGTACCTGAGGAACACCAGGAACCTGGGCGAGAGGAAGGCACACTTTAGCTCCTACTGAGCCCGCACAGGGCAGTGAAGGCTGGCCTGGTACAGGCCTGTCTGCAAGATCTGGGGCTGCTGGGTGGGAGCCTGCAAGCATTGAAGAGGAGGTTTTAGATAACATAATCATAATAATAAAAAGATAGAATATTAATTTAACAATTTCCTCAGTACCCCACGGCCCCTGCGGATGGAGTACAATATACTTTACCCATCAGCCAATCTCGAGAACAAGGCACCGTGTTTGGTGAAGTACAGGGCCAGCAAACACCGGGGCAAGCCTGACACAGCAGCCGTAACTCTGGGTGCAAACCCACCAGTATCCTTGAAGATGGTACAAGACCGACAGCACTTCTTCCTGGTGGGGTGGCAACCCATAATAACATAATACTGTCAGCTCCCTTGATGTGATCGTTCACCAAGAGATGGATAGATTCTACTGGGCTCAAATTTACCGAGGATGACAAGTGGCTGTGGCTTCCAGTCTCAGTCCCTGGACCTCAGCAAGATGGGCACATGCTGGGCTACCCTGAGTGGCTGCAGAGGCCATGAGAGGTCTCAAGGGTGGGTGGGGGGTGGGCTAAGGTCACCCCATTAGCTCTGATGAGGTGTGCAGGCACAGGAGGTAGGGGAGGGCCCAGAAGATTCTAATACCCACCCATCTTAGAAACAAAGGCCAGAGCTTTCAGCCTTTCTAACTGCCCCTCCCACCCCCACCACCCAGTCACTGTCTAAACCCCTCTCTTATGTCCCAGTGTCTGTCTCTGGCCCAGCACCTCAGCGCCCCAGCTCTGTGGACCCCTCAGCCCATGTGTTCGGGGAGAAGGGGAGCCCATCTTGGGATTTCACCCCACAGTGGCTGAGGCTCTTGCTTCACCCCACCCCCACCCCCACCCAGGGAATCTGAGCCCTTTGTCCATTAATGAGGACTAGGTTCGCTGTGATTTTGTAAGCATGGGGCGGGCTGTAGAAAACATGCTAGAACAAAGCAGACAACAGGCTGGGTCAGACTGTGCCTCGGACAGATCCAGTTTCTGACCGTGGGGTACAATTTTTGGCTTAGCTAGGGCAGAGCAGAAGGAGCAGGTCAGAGGCCGGGAGGTGGGAGCGCTGGGGGTCTGCTTCCATGGGGGACCCCCGCTCCCAGCAGCACCCTGCTGCAGCATGCGCTTCCGCCTGGCCTGGCCAACACCGGGACCTTGGCAGGCCTCACTGGGTGAACTCATTACCCTGAGCAGCAGACCCTCCCAAGGACCCTCAAAGGGGTCAGCTGCAGAGAAACCCAGCCCTGCCCCCAGCCCAGCTGCGGGCCTGTTCCTCCCCAGCTTGGAGGACAAGCAAGTGTTTGTACCCAGCTCTTGCCGAGCAGGGAAGCTGTTGTTCCTGCCCTGCCTCCGGGGACTGCACAGCCAGAGAAGGCCTTCTGGTTCCGTAGCCCTGGGGGGCGCATCCCACCCCTTTTTATGACCAAGCACTGGACGGGCAATGCGGAACACAGCCAGGAAGCATCCACCATGCACATTAGAGTGGTTTCCGTGAACCCCCACCCCTCAACAAAAACCACAGCCACGCAGAATTTGAGTGTGGGGGGGCGGTCTTACTTGGAAGTTGGGTCTTGGTAGCTAAGGTTCAGATAAGGTCTTAGGCTTAGGGTGGGGCCTGCATCCAGCGACTCGTGTACTTACAGCGGGGCAGGCTCACAGACACATGGGCGAGCACCAGGTGAAGGCAGACAGGTACACAGGAAAAGAAACACCACAGACTGTCGGAAGCCACGGAGAGAGGCACGGACCAACGGCTGACTCAGACCTCAGAAAGGACCAAGCTGCCTGACACCTGGCCCTTGAGAGAACACGCCTCTCGTTTTATGTAGAACCCAGGCACTGCCACTGAGTCGATGGCAACTCATAGCGACCCTATCTAGACCTTCTCCAGGGTTTCTGAGACAGCAGATGGCCTCATTTGTCCTCGTGTGGAGTGGCTGGTGGGTCTGAACTGCAGACCTTGAGGTTAGCAGCCCAATGTTTATCTACGGTGCCACTTCCCTGTCATACAGAACCCCCAGGGCAGGAGTGCCTCAGGGATGCCAGAGCTATCTATGCACACCTTCAGTTACCTGTGTGGTCTTCACATTTTACAGGCAACATGGGGGAACTCAGCTCCGGGGCCTAGCCTCCCTGGACTGCTGAGAAGGAAGCTGGGGGGTGGGGCAGGAGAAAAAGAGGTGTCAAAAGTGCTGGCCAGCCCTCTTTCAAAACCACAGCATTTGCAGATGAGACTAACTAGAAGGCAGCCAAGCCCAGTGAATTCAGGAAGTGGGAGGGGGAGGAAGAGTCAAATGGGTTGGAGACCACAGCCCTACTAGGCCTGTGAGCTGGAGTACATTAGCCACCTCCCTGGGGGGCTGTGAGATTAAACAGTGGTGCATACAATGCTCCACACAAAGGAAGTGCTCACCTTCGCTGGCATCACACCCTGACTTACACAGAACTGTGCCTCCTGAAGAGGCTGGCATTGGAGCTTGGCCTTAAACAGCCTAACCCATTTACATTCAGAGGTCTCTGCCCAGTCTCGGCTCCAACTAGGCCTCTGCCCCAGCCAGCCTCCCACAGACCTTCTTTTCCCCAGAGCTTTGAACATCTCCCACGGAGCACCCATTCGCCCTCTGGGGAAAGTGATTTGTGTGTGTGTGTGTGTGTGTGTGGCTAAGGGTAGTTGTGAGAGAGACAGTAACAATGGATTTAAGAAAAGCTGTCTTTCCTGTGTCTGCTCTGTGGATTTGCATTTTTAACACTTTCAAGGCCAAAGGATGCTCTGCTTTGACTTTGTTGTTGAAATCATGTGTTTTCATTAATGGAAGGCATTTTGCATGAAAGGAAAGCAACTCCCCCCCTTTTTGAAGGTAACACAGATCTTGTTGATTAGTTAATTAACGGGGTGCTAAAGCACCAGAGATCTCTGGTGCTGGCGTCAGTGGGGTGAAGCTCGTTTCTTCAGATTCATGCACAAACAACAAGTGGGATAAACGGTTCCCACTAAACACCCCTCACTGACATTGATTTCAATGCTTGGTGAGGCTGTAGGGCAGGGCAGAATTGCCCCTATGGGTTTCTGGGCCTATGGCTCTTTATGGAGTAGGAAGCCTCATCTTTCTCCCATGGAGGGGCTGGTAGTTTTGAACTGCTGACCTTTCTACTAGTAGCCCAATGTGTCACCAACTGCTCCACGAGGGCTCTTATCAAAACTCAACACAAGTGATGGTGATTGGTGTGGCACGTTAGGATGGGGCGAGGGGCAGGTCCTCACTCCAAAGGCGCTTGTCATTCTTACTCTGCACCAGCCTGATCTTTCCCAGTTTGGGGATCGAACACCTGTCCACTGGATGTCCACACCCGCCCTCCACCCCACCCTCCAGCAATCTCTGAGCCAACTCCAGCTAATACTATCCTAACCCCCCAATTCCTCTCCCCACTCAGCCTGTGCCTTGCCCCAACCTGAAAAGCGTTGTGGCTTCCGCAACCTGAAACCGCCCCCTCTCTCCACTCCACTCCTAGCTACCCCTTGGGGTGCCCTAGTGTTGGGTCACTTACAAACTCCTGCAGATGAGGTAGCCTAAGCCCTACCAGAAAGGCTCACCTCCGACCCCATGCCTCCTCCTTCCCTCCTCTCCTGGAAGGATCCCTGTCCGGGTCAGGCAGACAGGACAGACAGGGGCTACCCCAAAGAGTGAGTGCTTCCCTCAAAGATCGGCTCTCAGAGCTCCAGGGGGCGATAACGAGGGGGACTGGACTGCCGAGGCGCACAGGGCGGCGGAGGATGGGCACTTGACAGGGGTCGATGGCCAGCAGGATGTACACAGGGGAGCTTCAAAATGTTCGTGGAAAAATCTATTATCCTTTCATTTCATTTTCCCAAGAACTTTTTGAGACCGCCCCCCCCCCAGTATTTCATGTAGAGTTCCCCAACTAATTCGAGCCTTTCTAACCCAAAGTTAGGGCACCCCCTCTACGTTTCTGATAAACAAACACTCCTCGTACCGTCTCCGCTTCCCGCCACCTGCCCACCGTGCTCCAAGGCCGGTCCTCTCCCCGCGCTCCATGGATCCCTCCATTCTCTGACTCGAAAGAAATAAGTAACTTCCCAAAGCCGGACATCCTTCCGGATCACAGTTCAAACTCTCACTTTGCGGGTAGGAAACCGCGGCCATCAGACGGCCCTGGGACGGAAAATGCCCATTTCCGGATGGTTGGTTTTGTCACCAAGGACCAGTGCGGAGTTCCCAGGGTGCCATTTCCCTCACCTGCGTACCAGGCAGGCTCGCTCCAGGAAGACACCACACAAGTGCGAAGCTGTCCGGAGCGGCGCTACCTGCAGCCCCGACACGCTACCTGGCCTCTTGCTCAGTTAACCCTCGGCTGCCCGGTAGTCAAGCAGGCGGTTCAGAAGCTGCTCCGCCCCGGGCCCCTTCCCCAGTAGATGAAACTCCCCCGGGATCCCAGCGCCTTCCGGGCGGGGAGGCGCAGGAGGAAGAGCAGCGCCCAGCGCCGCGGGCTCACCCGGCCAGCTCCAGAAGTAAACTCGGCAGGCTGATGCCCCGCGCGCTGCGCGCCGCCAGCAGCGCGGAGATCTGCGGCAGCTTGAGCGCCGCGCACACGGCCAGCGTGCTCCAGTTGCAGAACCACAGCAGGCCCGTCTCCATGGCGCGCGCCAGGGTCCCGGACGCCGGGGGCTCTGCCGGAGACTGGCGAGGGGGGTCGCTCCTCGCTCCGCCCTCCGCCCGGTCCTTCCGCCTCTCGGGCACCGCCCTGCTCGGGAAGCCCGGGGCGCGCCCCAGTGCGTCCCGCCCCGCGCCCGGCTCTGTCCACGCC